TGAATAATATCCAACAGGGGCGGATCTACTAAGGCTGGAGGGGGTGGCAGCTGCCCCCAATAAAGGCCCACTAAACCCTCCTAATTTTTTAAAAAATATTAAAAGCCCAATAGTTTGCCCCCAATAAAAAATGGTCTGCCCCCAATAACCCAAAATCCTCCAGCCTGCCCCACGATTACAGAAGAAGTGAACGACGAAAAAAAAACCTTCCCCCGTTCGGTCGTTCCCCGACGCTCCATCACGCAGAAAGCCAGAAAAGCAAGCGGCGCAGCCCGCAGTGGCGCAGCCGCAGTCCGCAGAAAGCTCTCTCGCGCACTGCTCCGATGGTCCGACCTCCGTGCTCCAACGCTCCGTGACTCCCAGCGGCCGGAACCTCCGTGCAGTCCACACTCCGCACTTCGCCACTTCCGCAGACAGCAAACTCACATCAGAAATCAGATGGCCAATAACTAGGGTCTAGGTAAGCCTAAAGCCTTTAATCTTTTCGATTTTCACTTTAATTTTTTCAATTAGATTAAATGTAATTGATGAGTTAGTGAAATTGTTAATTATATCAATTTTAGAATGTTTTATAATATTTTAGGTAGTTAAATGAAATGTATAATGTATTAAAACAGTTAATTTTAATTTAACTTTTTTTCCAGACTCAATGAAGAGATATTGGGCTACCGTTCCTTCACCGGGTAGTTCAAATAATAATGCTTCAAATATTGCATCTCAATGTTCTTCATCAATACCTAAACAAGTTGATTTGGATGAGCTTCCCTCAGATCCTGCAAAAAGAAGGAAAATTTCTGAGTACCATCCTAATCAAATAGATGAAATCAGGAGAAAATGTTTGATTAAAGGACCTTGTCAACCACGTGGTCATGACTTTCCACAAAAAGAGATTGGGAAGACTTTAAGACGCTTTAACTCTAAATGGTTTGATCAATATCCTAATTGGTTAGAATATAGTATACAAGATGACAAAGCCTTTTGTTTGCCTTGTTACTTGTTTAGAGATCACTTTGAGAATCGTGCGGGGAATGATGCATTTGTAACTGAAGGGTTCTCAAGTTGGAATAAAATGGAGCGATTAGCTTCTCATGTGGGTAACATAAATAGTTTCCGCAATAAGGCACTTAAAAAATGTGATGATTTAATGAACCAAGACCGGTCAATTGTTGTTGCTTTGCATAAACAAAGTGAAATTGTGAAGAATGAATATCGTATTCGTTTGGATGCTTCTATTGATGTTTCAAGATTTTTATTGCGTCAAGGACTGCCTTATCGTGGTCATGATGAATTTGAAGAGTCTAACAATAGTCAATAGTGGCAATTTTCTGGAACCAGTAAAGTATACTGCTAGTCAAAATGATGCTGTGAGTAAGGTTGTATTGAAAAATGCTCCAGGAAATAATCAAGTAGTTGCTCCTAGCATTCAAAAAGACATTGCTAATTGTTTTGCACGGGAAGTTGTTCACTCCGTGCTTAAGGAGATAGATGATGATGTGTTTAGTTTGTTGGTTGATGAGTCTAGTGATGTGTCTTACAAGGAGCAATTGGCTATGGTGTTGAGGTACGTTGATCGGTGTGGCATAGTTAAAGAAAGATTTATTGGTGTTGTTCATGTGAAAGATACATCTTCTTTGTCTCTTAAATCTGCTATTGATTCTGTATTTTCTGAATATGGCTTGAGTTTGAAAAATGTTAGAGGCCAAGGGTACGATGGCGCAAGCAATATGCAAGGTGAGTTCAATAGGTTGAGAGCTTTAATCATGAAAGAAAGTAGCTCGGCCTACTATATCCATTGTTTTGCTCATCAACTACAATTAGTTGTTGTGGCGGTTTCGAAGAAACACTTTGATGTTGGTGATTTTTTTGAAATGATATCTCTTTTATTAAATGTGGTTGGAGCGTCTTGCAAAAGAAGAGATATGATTCGAGAAAGTCATCAAGAAAAAGTGAAAGAAGCTATAAGTAATGGTGAAATTAGCATCGGGACAGGATTAAATCAGGAGCTTGCCCTTCAAAGACCGGGAAATACACGTTGGGGTTCCCATTATAGAACACTTCTCAATTTGATTGAACTGTTTCCATCAGTTGTTCAAGTCCTTGAGCACATTGAAGTGGAGGGCGTAGACAGTGTCAAAAGACGCCAGGCTAATGGTCTTCTAACATATTTTCAATCATTTAAATTTATGTTTTATTTGCAGTTGATGTTGCTTATCTTGGGACTCACAAATTCTTTGTCAGTGGCTCTTCAAAAGAAAGATCAAGACATATTGAATGTTGTTTCACTTGTGAAAACAACAAAGCAACAATTGCTTAAGGTAAGAGTTGATGGATGGGATTCTCATTTGAGGAAGATCTTAGAAGTTTGTGAGAAGCATGAAATTTCTGTGCTTAATATGGATGAGGACTTTGTTAACCCAAGGAGGCCACGTCAAAGAACTAATATCACTAATCGACATCATTATGAGTATGAATGTTTTAATACCATAATGGATTTGCAAATTAATGAATTTGATGACCGTTTGAATGAGGTAAATTCCGAGCTACTTCTTTGCATGGCTTCTTTGAGTCCGATTGATTCCTTCCGTGAGTTTGATGCTTCAAAATTGTTGAGATTGGCTGAATTTTATCCAAGTGACTTCAGTTGTGTGGAACGCAGAACTCTTGAGCACCAAGTCAATATTTATATTGACAATGTGTTAGCGGATGAGAATAGTGAAGACTAATTTGCGTAATAGAATTGGCGATTAGTATTTGAGTGATTGTCTGATTTGTTTCATTGAAAGAGATGTGTTTGAATCTGTTACAAATGAAACTGTACTGGATCTCTTTCAAAAGATGAAAACTCGACGCGAACAATTGTGATGTATTTTGTAAGACTTTAATTATTGTAATATTACATTGCTACTTTATTACTCCGTATTATTTTTTGTGATGCATTTTTTTCTGCCTCCAATAACTTCTAATCTTGGATCCGCCACTGATATCCAACACAACGTTGGTTCATTTATTTGTCGTTCTCGCTTTATTGGGCTTTTGTCCTGAATATTAGTAATAAAGGGCCAATTGACAAAAAAGTGACCCTTTCTTAAAAATTCCAAAAATGTGATTAATAATTAATTAGCCTACTTATTTACCCAGTTTCCATAATGATTTGCTACAGTGAACGATACAGTGACATCCACCACCACCCACCACCTCCGACCGGTGACCACCGCCAGCCATAGTGACAATGACTTAGTGACACCGTTACAGTGACGTCGTCATAGTGATGTCATCACAGTGACAGCCGTCGTAGTGACCCCGCCGTAGTGACTCCACCGTGAACCACCCCAGCCAGTGATTGTCGTTGCCCCCTCCGGTCACAGTGACATGCCGACTCCGGTCATAGTAACACCACCATAGTTACTTGCCACCACAGGTCACCATCAACCACCAGACCTCACACGTCCACCCACCACCGGCGACCACCACTTCCCGCCACACAGGTAACCTGCCGCTGCCTCTCTCCGTAGGCCAGTCACCTCCCGCTGCACAACTCAGCCCTCGCACTCAGTCCGGCACACCCAACACCCGGCCAAAAACAACCGTCGTCGCCCTAAAATGTGACCCCACAAGCCCCTCCCCAACCCCATCTTCCAGCCCCTGTAAAGTCACTGCCCAACACGGCCCATCCTTGCAACCGCCGCACTCCACCACGCTGCCACCTCCCACTGCATATCTAAAGCCCAAATCCAATCACCTCTATCGCAATCGCAGAGGTGGAGCTCCAGATATGTTGTCTCCAAAGCCATCGTCGTCATTGAAGCCTCGTCGCCGCAGCCACGCCTCCGTCTCTGTAGTGTCACCGTCTAAATCGAAGCCTCTTCACCTGGTCATGTGGTGGATGGTGGAGGCCGGGATTTGCGAGAAGAAATAGAAGGCAAATCGAGCTTTCTGGGGATATGGAGACGAGAGATTTGTCGATCGGTTAAGGGAGAAGAAAGAAGGCGCAGAGAGAATGGCGAGAAGAGAAAAGGCACAGAGAAGAAAGGCGCAGAGAGAGGCATGAGAAGATAAGGTCACATTTTTGTCCACACACAGAATAGTCATGTTTTTGTCTTTCTAAAGCCTATAAGTAATGTTTTTGCCATTCTTTCCGCTTTATTTCTTTGATTGTCTTGTTTTATTTGTAACAGTTCATTTCACATGTCGGCCTTCAATTCAAGCTAGCCCAACCTTAAAATAAATCAATAGATTTCGGGCTTAGATGTTTTATGATATTAAAGTTATACTAATTCCATGTTACTCCGTATAAACATTATACGTAGTAGTTAAGAAATCATATATTTCTTTTAATTACAACAATCAACATTTCACGTTTGTCAACGCACAAGTTTGATCGTTAATATCTTTTATTCACTATTAGTAAAAAAAATTAAAAATTCATATTTTGAAATTTTAGAATGAGAAGAATTTAACAATAATTTTTAAAAATTTAATTTATAATATATTAATTAATAAAATATAGTCAAAGTAGAATATATGAATAGTGCAAAAAGTCCAATGTTGCAATTAAAAGAGTACATATGTATTATTTGGTTGACTTCAGTACAATCCATACTCAAATCCCCAAATTGTCAAGATATCCGATCCTAAATATGATCCAGTTAAGACATCCCTTAATATAATCAAAGGTTTAAAAGCATCTAGAGTTTTGGTTTTTGTTTATTTTTTGCTAGGGATGCCAAACTATTCATTGTGCTTTACTCTTTATTGTATACTAGTATACTACTACAACATTTAACATGTATATACATCTTTCACATGGGCATAGCCTGGGCACTGGGTTGATTAAGCTGATATAATTTATTTATTTTAATAAGCTTCTACAAGATTTTTTTTACACTAAGTAATTCGTACGGTATAAAAAAGAATTTAAATTTGAGGTGGATTGGGCCTAGGTTGGCCACTTACCTCTATGGCTCTATCCCTGGTCATTCATCGATCTTGTGAAACAATATTCCTCTTAAATTAGATTATATTATTACTAGTATTATTACTGTCGTTTGATTATAACTAATCAATAAGCATCATGATTTAAAAATGATGACACTGCATAGAGGAGGGCATAATCACAAGTTTCATCATAAACTGAACTACTTTTTGACAAAGTATTGCATGACAAATGATATTAAACCATACAATGTAACTCAAGTATAGTGTGGTCAACTGATGGGAGAATTAAGGCCTTCTTGGGAAGACAAGGAGTTGATAGCGTGATGATGTCTCTTTGACGTCGCAAAAGATGGCGTTTTCCTAAAAGACGCCCGTTTGCTGATGCGATGGAGAGTAGTTTTGGTGTGAAGATTGTGGACGTACGGCAATGCTCCCTCCCTAAACTTGAGAACAATGAAGAATAAAACTCTGTAGCTGATGAGGATGGCTATGACTATTGCTAAATCCCACCACTTCGAGTGCGCCACAGATAGGCCAAGAATCCCTGTGATGATTCCTTCTCCGGTCAGCTTTGGCTCGCCGATGTTCATGGCGTCGAATTCTAGACCTAGCATGTCGTTCTTGTATGCTCCCTGCAATTGCATATAAATAGAAATTGGATCATAGAAATTTGTATGAAATAATATTAAATAAATTTGCAAATTCTCTGAAGTTGAGTGAAAAGAAAATATATATGTAGTCTAACGCGTTGTTTGTTTATTGGCATTTTGAGGCCAAACCTTTGGAAATACCAGCGTTTTGCTTCATTAAAATAATGCCGGTTTGCCAAAAACGCTGGTATCCAAACACCATCTAAGTCAAACATTTGATTAACTGCTAAGGGTAATAAGGTGCATATATGGATATTTTCTGCTATGTGCTGGGTGCAGTTAGTGGAGTATAAGATAATGTAGTCTTTCTATCCTATATCACTAAGTTAAGTTCTTAAGTTTTTCAGTCAAACTTCATTGGCTTTGATTGTTAATATTAAAAACCACACTGCCTTATAAAAAAAATAACTTTGAATACTCATATCAATATATATAAATGATATGTTTTATATCTAAATTCTCAAATAAATAGGGTGCAAATTGAATTTGGGAAAAAGTGGGTGCAAATTTCACATTTTAAGATGCCAACATTATTCAGTTTGAAAAGGAATGCGAATTTTAAAAATAGATAAACTAGGGTGCATACTTTACTCCCCTATAAATTAATTAACATGCGGGGTGAAATTAGGCTACCATTTCAGAACTACATTGAAATAATGAGATCAAAGCAGGTGGGCGTAGCTTAACTACTACTCCCTCCGTTCCTATTATAACTTACAACTTTCCTTTTTCGTCCGTTCCGATTAAAACTTCCACTTTCTCTTTTTGGTAAAGGATTTGTGGTTCACAACATTTCTTACACATTTCTCTCTCCTTTGCACAACTCTCCACCACACAATACCCTGATGGAGTATATGGACCAGGGACCCCCGGTCCACATACTTCCTCTACTACAATCAGGCCCAACAGGCCCAAACGGGCCAAGGCCAGAAAATGGAGCTCTAAGCAGCCCACAATACACAAAGGGGTGCCTTCGGCCCCATGGCCGAAGGCTACCAGTGACGGAATCGAGCTCAGAAACATCACAGGAGAACAAGACTTGAAAACCAAGCCTTCGGCAACTGCAGTCCTCGGCAGGTAGGAGCCCTCGGTTAGAAGAGGCATCACAGGAGAACAAGGCTTGAAAACCAAGCCTTCGGCACCTGCAGCCCTCGGCAGGTAGAAGCCCTCGGTTAGAAGAGCCTTCGGCCCAGCACCCTTCAGCCGAAGGCATATACCTCGACAAAATATCCTCTTCACATGCGCCTGGATCACCGTACCAAGTACAAAAATCACATCCAACCACCGCATTTAATGCGGCCACATGCGAGTGCCAGTGCCACCCCGGTCGAGGTGACCCCTCGACCACCAGAAAACTGACACGTGTCCTTATCTAGCATTTATTACTACTATAAATAGCACCCCTTTCCCCCATTGTAAACCACGCTGAATACATATCGAATATACACTCTCTCTCTCTTACTTATTTGCTCTGACTTCTCTCTAGTTATTCTCCGCAATAACCCCTCGGATAAGCTACCCCTCGGGTACACTATCCATCATTTGGTGCTCTCGTTGAGAGGTCGAACAATCAAGTAAGAAACCCTCCCCCTCGACCAAACACAAAACACCTAGCTAAAATGGTGAGAACAACTCGTGCCAACTCTAAGAATGTCGAGGACAGGAACCTGGCCCTCGGCGAGGTCGACGTCCCTGAAGCCTCTAACAGGGCTCCCGGGGGCGGCGTCATCACCGGGTTGGACCAGACGGCTGTCGACCTACGCCATCAGATTCAACAGAATGCCCCCGATGCCCGCTTCGGCATCGAGGCTAAGAAGAAGGACCGGAGCGAGAATCAAATTAGCCCTCCGGTCATCACAATCGACGTACAATCGGCGCTCTCCGCCTTCATCCAGACGCTCACCCAAAACCCGGGTGCCTTCAGCACTTTGGTTCCCCTCCAACCTCAGGTCGGGGAGAATATTATGCCTCCTCCTCATCCACACCCCCTCGGGAACCCGGTCCTCCGGATTGGGAACTCCGAGGGGGTCGTGGCCCAGGATACGGCCTCCCAGGAAGTCCAGTCCCGGGACCGCCACAACGTAAACAAAGAACAACTCTGGACCTCCGCCCTCGAGAGACTCGGAGGGGCGCAAGACCGCCGAGGGGTCCAAGACCGCCTCGGGGGGAAGGTGTTCCTGAGGCCTCAGGAAAGTGGCGGATCCGTCTCCAGGGCCAATGAAAGGCGTCCCCCTCAGGACAAAGGCAAGGCACCTCTCCATGCCAACGACGCCCGCCACCAAATCAACCAGGCCCACTCGGCCCGCGTCCATTCGCAGGGGGCGGAGGCCCTCCCGAAGGACCCCCGGGACGAAATCATCGTGGCCCTCTAGCGCCGGCTTGACGAGATGGAGGCCACCAAAGCACACGCCACCACTTCTGCCCCTCATACAGACCTCAAGTATGAGGCCATGCTGGCCAAAATGGAGGAGATGCAAAGGAAATTTGCCGAAGGCTCCAGGGAACCCGTCATCCAACTCCGAACTAGGACGCCATTTACCCCAAGGGTATTGGCGGCCCAAATCCCAGAAAAGTACCGAGGGCAACTCATCAAGCCCTATGAAGGAAAAACTGACCCCCAGGAGCACTACAACAGGTATCAAAACAGCATGATGATGATGGGGGCATCAGATGAATACTTATGTCGTTGGTTCCTTTCCACCTTGGAGGGACCAGCATACGAATGGTTCAACCGATTGCCCGAGGGCAGCATTGACTCTTGGCAAGACCTTGCCCAACGCTTCCTCACCCATTTTGCCGGAAGGAAGCGCGCGAGAAAGCACTTCTCCCAGCTCCTCTCCGTCAAGCAACAGCCTGACGAAACACTTCGGTCCTTCATTGACTGGTGGATGAAGGAGACAGACGAGGTCGAGGGCGCCGACGAGCGTACCCTCCTCGTCCTCTTCCAGGGGGTTCTCCGCAGCAGCCCCTACGCACGGAGCCTCATCACCGACCCCCCAAGATCATACCTCAGAGCACTCCAGCGGGGGAGCCTATACGTCGACGCCGACGACCTCCACTCCTTCAAGAAGAACGAGGGCCAGCCCTCGAAGAAGACAAACAACACGCTGTCCCCAAATGCACCCTCGGCCGGAGGGCGAGACCATGGAAGCCACACCCAGTAGGGCCGTAACGAACGCCAATGGCGCCCTCGGCTGGACATGCCGAGGACTCCCCTCACGCACCCGGTGAGCACTATCCTCAACTATGCAGAAGAGCAGGACCTTTTCCCCAAGGACCCTCGGTCGGCGAGGGAGATCTACGCCATCCACCAAGGCGGCACTTATTGCCGTTACCACAAAAGCACCTCCCACAATACAGACGATTGTGTCTCGTTGAAGAAGGCTATTGAACTCTTAATCCAACAAGGTGAGCTCCACCAATTCATCAAAAATGCCCCAAGGAAAAACACCGGGGGGAACACCGATAAAGAAGAAGGGGACATCGCAACGAAGAAACATGAAATCGGGAGGCTCAGCGACGGCGAGGAGTTCGAGGAGCCCCAGCCGAAGAAGCGCCACCTCCGCTAATCATGTTCCTCGCCTTCGGCGTTAGTCTCAGCCTTGGGCCCTCGACCTCGAGGCACATTATCATCCCCTCGGCCTAGAGCCCTCGGCCTTGAGCGGTGAATCTTAACAAAGCCGTTGTCAAACAACGCACCCCTTGTATTCCGCTTATTTCTATGAATTTAAGTAAACTACAACACAATCCAGACATCTTATCGGCCCCTTCGAGGCCAAATGCCCAGGTGTGGCCGATGGTGTCTAAAGACGAGGGGCCTGCAAAAGGCCTGCGCTTTTGGAGCGGGACGCTCACCGCGTCGTCGGCGCGCAACGCACAGCGACAGGCCTGAAAGAATGGCTGAGGTGACGAAATCCCCAAACTTGGGGGTGAAACGGCAGTCGTCGGAAACCGACCAAGCCTAGCCCGCGCCGTAAATAGACGACGGGACCCCCCAAGGTCAAGGGACGGTTCAACGCCGGGGGACTAACAGACGAACCCCCGGACGGATCACTTGGACCCCCTTCCGGCCGAGGCGGGGAAGCAACCCCCTCGGCCGAAGCCTGAAAGAAGGAACACACATCGGGAGGACTAACATACGACCTCCTGGCACAATCAAGGGACGGCCCAGCGCCGGGGGACTAACAGACGAACCCCCGGACGGATCACTTGGACCCCCTTTCGGCCAAGGCGGGGAATCAACCCCCTCGGTCTAAGCCTGAAAGAAGGAACATACACCCGGAGGACTCCCGGAACTATCAAGGAAAGGCCCTCGGCCTCAATTTGATTCTAAATCACCAACGGCCCTCGGCCTCAGCGTGATTCCACATCACAACGGCCCTCGGCCTCAACGTCAGAATAGCCCTCGGTCTCGAAATCAACAATGGCCCTCGGCCTCAACATCAGACGGCCCTCGGCCTCAACATGACTCTATGTCATAACGGTTTTGGCCTCAGCGTGATCTCACATCACCAATGGCCCTCGGCCTCAACATCAGAACAGCCCTCGGCCTAAACGTGATTCAACATCAATAACGGCCCTCGGCCTCAGCGTGATTCCACATCACAACGGCCCTCGGCCTCAACATCAGAACGGCCCTCTACCTCAGCATCAGAACGGCCCTCGGCCTCAACATCAACAAACGGCCCTCGGCCTCAGCGTGATGACATCACAATGGCCCTCGGCCTCAAAATCAGACGGCCCTCGACCTCAACATGACTCTATGTCATAACGGTTTTTGCCTTACATGATTTCACATCACCAAAGGCCCTCGGCCTCAACGTGATTCCACATCACAACGGCCCTCGGCCTCAACATCAGAACAGCCCTCGGCCTCAACGTGATTCAACATCAACAAACGGCCCTCGGCCTCAGAGTGATGACATCACAATGGCCCTCGGCCTCAAAATCAGACGGCCCTCGACCTCAACATGACACTATGTCATAACGATTTTTGCCTTACATGATTTCACATCACCAAAGGCCCTCGGCCTCAACGTGATTCTACATCAACAACGGCTCTCGGCTTCAGCGTGATTCCACATCACAATGGCCCTCGACCTCAACATCAGAACGGCCATCGGCCTCAACATCACAACGGCCCTCGGCCTCAGCGTGATTCCACATCACAGCAACCATCGGCCTTCATCCCTCCGACATCTTTATTTGATGTCGGGGGCAATCACACAGGTCTCTCGGCCTTCATCCCTCCGGCATCTTTATTTGATGCCAGGGGCTATTATACAGGCCATCGGCCTTCATCCCTCCGGCATCTTTATTTGATGTCGAGGGCCATCACACAGGCCCCTCGGCCTTCATCCCTCCGACATCTTTATTTGATGCTGGGGGCTATCATACAGACTCATCGGCCTTCATCCCTCCGACATCTTTATTTGATGTCGGGGGCAATCACACAGGTCTCTCGGCCTTCATCCCTCCAGCATCTTTACTTGATGCCAGAGGCTATCATACAGGCCCATCGGCCTTCATCCCTCTGACATCTTTATTTGATGTTGAGGGCCATCACACAGGTCGTCGGCCTTCAGCCCTCTGGCATCCTTATTTGATGCCAGGAGCTATCATACAGGCCCCTCGGCCTTCATCCCTCCGACATCTTTATTTGATGTCGGGGGCCATCACGAAGACCCCTCGGTCTCCATCCCTCTGGCATCTGTATTTGATGCCAAGGGCTCTAACACAAGCCCACCTGGCCTTGCACCCCTCCGTCACCTTTATTTGATAACGGGGGGGGGGGGGGGGGGGGGTCCTTACAAGCTCCTTAGCTTTTTAATGCAGGATCTAAGGCTGATCTTGGATATCCCCTCAGCAGACGGATACAACCGCCGCTCAACAATCAAGGCTGAAGGGTGCACTCCTTTTGCTTCATTCTGAGGACATCCGATGTACTCTTTTTTCCTCATTAGGATTTTTTCCCACAGGGTTTTTCCTAATGAGGTTTTTAACGAAGCATCTCCCCATTGTGGAACAAAAGGCGTCACCCCTCGGCGGCTCCTGCTAAAGGCATGCATCACTCTACTCCTGTTTCCCTCGAGAAACTCTCAGCAAAAGGAGTGGGGGACTGGGGGACTCCCCTCGGCAAAACACGCAAATGTTAAAAAATTTCTATTTCTCAGCTACAGCAAGATGAGGCAAGATCACAACGGCAATCTACTCCCCTCGACATGATGCTTTCGGCTTACAGAATGCCTCCGGCCACACAATGCCTTCGGCCACATGATGCCTCCGGCCACACAATGCCTTCGGCCACATGATGCCTCCGGCCACACAATGCCTTCGGCCACATGATGCCTCCGGCCACACAATGCCTTCGGCCACATGATGCCTTCGGCCACATGATGCCTCCGGCCACATGATGCATTTGGCCACACAAAGCCTTCAGTCAACAAATGCCCTCGGCAAAGCACACAAATGCAGATCTCTCGTTTGCTTTACAAACTACAACAAAGAAACACATACGAGCAACACACTTACACTCCCTTCAGGAAGCTCTCGGCCCTCGACATATGGGGGAATTGAGAAAATGAGGCACCCAACAGAACAGGGAAGCCTTCGGGAAAATCACCACAGTTACTCCTTTTCCCTCAAGTACCTTTCGGCAAAAGGAGTGGGGGACTCCTGATGGAGTATATGGCCCAGGGACCCCCGGTCCACATACTTCCTCTACTACAATCAGGCCCAACAGGCCCAAACGGGCCAAGCCCATAAAATGGAGCTCTAAGCAGCCCAAAATACACAAAGGGGTGCCTTCGGCCCCATGGCGAAGGCTACCAGTGACGGAATCGAGCTCAGAAACATCACAGGAGAACAAGGTTTGAAAACCAAGCCTTCGGCAACTGCAGCCCTCGGCAGGTAGGAGCCCTCGGTTAGAAGAGGCATCACAGGAGAACAAGGCTTGAAAACCAAGCCTTCGGCACCTGCAGCCCTCGGCAAGTAGAAGCCCTCGGTTAGAAGAGCCTTCGGCCCAGCACCCTTCAGCCGAAGGCATCCACCTCGACAAAATATCCTCTTCACATGCGCCTGGATCACCGTACCAAGTACAAACGTCACATCCAACCACCGCATTTAATGCGGCCACATGCGAGTGTCAGTGCCACCCCGGTCGAGGTGACCCCTCGACCACCAGAAAACTGACACGTGTCCTTATCTAGCATTTATTACTACTATAAATAGCACCCCTTTCCCCCATTGTAAACCACGCTGAATACATATCGAATATACACTCTCTCTCTCTTACTTATTTGCTCTGACTTCTCTCTAGTTATTCTCCGCAATAACCCCTCGGATAAGCTACCCCTCGGGTACACTATCCATCATACCCATTATCTTAAATTGTGTGCCAAACCTATTTGGAAGTTATAATAGGAACGGAGGTAGTAATAGACACAAAGTTTCAGAAGGGGTAAGTCTCGCTGTCTCGGGTTTAAATCCTGGCAATTGCGATAAGAGATTACTATGTAAAAATGCATATGACCTTTACAAGTACCTTGACCAGAACCCGACTCGTTATTTGGTAACTTGTGAATAAAGTCCAATTTACATCTATCTTGTGACACCTCTAGAAATGAGGTGTCATCTATTTTTTTAATAATGAAGTATTAAGCTATTTATTTGTTTTCTTATCCTGTATAATTGTGTGCTTAATATCCATGGATTTTTATCATAGATCGAGTAATAGTGACAGTATAAAATATTAAAACTCACCTGCAGAGCCCATGACATGAAATTCACATATGAAACTGGATATCGCCAGAAAACCTTTGGAAGTTCGGGCAATAACCGGAAAAACCCAGACGAAGCCATCATAAGCCCCTGCAAATATCAGAAAACTGGAAAAGATAAACCCTAACCCCTAACAAAGACTGTAAAAACGATTTTCCAAAGAGAAGAATAACAGAACAATGCTTAATTAATGATTAGATTGATTACAATAAGTCCAGCTCCAATGACGAGTCCCATAGTGAAATTAGGAACAAAAGAAGCCACCACCATCATGCAGCTCTCTATAACAGCTATGGAGCTTAGAAGCATAATCACAGCGTATATGAAATGGAAGAAGCCGGGGTGAAACCTTGCCAGATGGTAGGTAATGGCTGCTGAGCTAGATGACATTAAAGCCAGGAATGGGAGTGAAGATATAAAGTTTGACAGAATAAACAACCCAACTCCATAATGCCCATTTCTTCTCTCTTTATAAAATATCTGTCACAACACAAACATTGTCATTGTACATCACAAAAGGTCACGCCGTCAAATCCATATTGTTAAACCTTACTTTGAGTATATTTTCAAATGTAATTTGGATTGGCATAAAATATAGTTGAGGTAATTGATGATAATTGTGATATTAAAGTCTTAAAGGTGTATTATTTAATATGTGATGATTGATTTGTCATTTAAAAGAAAAGTGAGAATCTTTAAATGTGATGTTCAAATGAGGAGAGTAGGAACCTTTGGTGGGATAGATGAACTACTGGAGTACTATAAATATGAATAACATATATGAGTATTCTTCATTTTCCCAATATAAGACTTATTCACTTAAAAAACTTAGGAGTTAATGTCCTATTTAAGAAAAATACAATGATTGTCTTTTTCTTCTAAAGTGCTATACAACATATTTTAGAAACATTTACGAATTATTCAGTTCAACTGAAAATCTACCAGTTTGATATGGTCTAGCTGATTGGTTTGATGTGCTTCATTTAAAGTATTTTGTTCTGATTTGGTCTAATTGGTCATGTCATGTATTGGTATGTGTGTGAGTATCTACTACTGGTGCCATCGATATGGTATTTTTAAACCAGTTTTGATCTGGTCTAATTAAATGTAGTGTAATTTAATATGGTCTAATGTAATTTAGTATGTGATTGAAATAAGTTGAATGAAACAGTTTTTAACTAATTTCAATTTTTAATTTCCTATTTGGTATTACTTTCATACCTTCATTTCTTCAATGAAGGATGGGAAGCCACCAATGGACATGAAACTCATGAACCCTGAAATAAATCCTCCGCAAGCGCCCCTCGCAAGAACTGCACTATGATTAGTCCCGACGTTGTAGAACACGGTGCCAACGGAAGTGGATACGATGAGATAGATAATGATTCTTAACCAATAATATCCGAAATCTCTGGACATGTTTTTGGATGACCTCCTTATCAATGTCACAAGCTGCATCCACCATCTTGCCTGGCTTCCACCTAGTTCATCTTCAATTCCAAATCCTTTCTGCGGTCACACTCACAGTATTTATAATTTGACATTAATTACCAATAAAAGGGTTGATGAATCAGCTACCAAGAAGAGAAATATTTGCAGTTTTAGTCACGGGGCTAAAATTACAAATCTCCTAAAAATACTCATCTCTTCCTCCCACCGATGATTATTTACTGTACACAATAAGTAATTGGTAATGTTGATGCGATTTTATATCCCCAAATATAGAATTAAGGAAACCTTCATCCTTAGTCACACAATTTATAAGTTTGTAGTGAATTTTTAACTCAAATGTTGTCAATTGACAGTTATTCAGTTAATTATTCAAAAATCGTAATATTTTATAATACCACAATAATTTTGAACAGAGTAGACGATTGTTCCAAAATGAAATTACCACTGAAGACATCTCTTGAGCTCTGGATTTTGTGCGGCTGGCATACTTTGAATATCTGTACTTCTGAAGAAGTCTTGCCCTGATCTCCGAAGTAGGCAAATATACTGTCGAACCCGAAGATTCTCTAGGGTCCTAATATTATAAATAGAAACATATTATTGCCAGAAGTATTACTAAATAGGGAACATTTTGGGCAATTTCTTTACTGTTTAATAGAACATGAACATCATATGATAACAACATGTTCGGAGTGTATATATAACATACCTTAATCCTTTGAGACCCAATAAGCGTTTCAGTGACATGATCGAAGTCAGAATTGATGGAACGAAGAAAATGATCAGACGGGTTCCTTCTGGTTGGGCATGGAAATCCAGAATCCGCGAAGAACTGTTTACATCAAATCTAATAATTAGTTGAGCTAATTCGTACGGAGTTTAAGTAGAAAAGCGTGAGACAAAAAACAACCTTTACACACGATTAGTGAAGGGGTCAGAAAGTAAACACAAAGTGGAGTTCTGAAAAATAGTGTGATTTTTTGAAAACCTAATTGACTGTCGTCGTCCTACAATACGAGTGGCAGGAATGCAAAATAGTTTGAAAAATGAATTTTATCGAGATCTTGTATGCAAAAGATAGGTCCAAATGCTTCAAAAAAACAAGTGGAAATTGACCGTATGGACCACTTTTGTTACTACATTTGTCTTCCTATTAAAACTTTCACTTTCTTTTTTAGTAAATAATTTGTGGTTCACAACATTTCTTACACATTTTTCTCTCTTCTGCACAACTCTCCACCACACAATACTCACTATCTTAAATTGTGTGTCAAACCTATTTGGAAGATAAAATAGGAACGAATGGAGTATCATTTGTGACTTAATTCTTTTTCCTTTTCATTTTTAACTTTTGTATTTTCAATAATGTTTTATTTATTTCACTTTTAACTATTCTTTCTATTCTGCCTATTCTTATACTCCCTCCGTCCCAATTTGATTTGCAAAATTTTCTTTTTTGGTTGTCCCAAAATAGTTTTCTGCTTTCTATTTTAGGTATGTAAATAAGAATAAAGTGACAAAATTACCCTTACTTTAACTTTTTCCTCATTAACTTAAAAGCATCTATTTTTAGAAATATGGGTAAATGTGTAAAAAACGAGCATCATTTATTGTCATTTCATCTTTTTGTCGGTCAAAGTTTGCTATTCAATTTTCGGAATGGAGGGAGTACCAGAGAGGCGCAAGGAGAGTCGCTAGAAGACTGCTTAGAGAGCGAGGTGGCGCGAGGTGGAGATCGCCCAGGTGAAGACTTGCAGTGCCGGAGGAACGAGGTACGAGCGGCGACTCTGCGAAGCGGCGGGCAGCGCTATGCCAAAGGCGGCAGAGTTTATATTCAGCACTATTCGCCCGTGACCATTGAGTCGGTCCGCACCTGGGCTTCAAGTCAGGCCAAGTTCTTCATCTACATCTGTAATTTCAGATTTGTTTTCCGTTACCACACAGATTTTCCGTTTGTTTTTGCAGAAATTAAATTCTATTTTTTTGGAATTCCTTTTGACTGAGTTCTGAAATTGTGAATAAACAACTAATAGGTGGCACCGGAGGATGCAATTAGCGGCAATCTCTGTTGGTTGGAGCGATTCTCATTCAGGTTAATTTTATTGATGTATTTTTTGATTTTTTAAAAGTATTTATTTCATATACTGCTAAGTGATGTCATTTGGCTGTTTAGAATAATAATTGTTTCGTTGTTTGCACATTTGCGGCATTTAATTTGAGGTTTTTGTGAATGCAAGAGCTATATGAGATGCCTCCATTATTTGACAGGTCAATTTTGATGGTATGAGTTAGTTAGTTGAGTTTTTCAATATTTGGTAAGTGGAATGAGTTATTTGACATTAGTTGACAGTTAATTAGGCATGAGAGCTGTTACAAGTTGTACTCTACATAGTAAATAGTGATATTTGTCAATGCTAGCGAACAAGCAGTTCCTTATTTTCATCCCTTGTTGGTGCAGTGAAGGTGATGAAGTCTAAAACGATGTACACCATGAAAACAGGAGTACATGTGAGTCTAATTAGCTCGCTTGGAAGTCCAGGCCAAATTCTTCTTCAAAGAATGTAAGAGCCTGTTTACTAACAGAGACAATTTTCTGTTTTCATTTTCTGTTTTCAAGTTTCCAGATTTCTGTTTTCGTTTTCCATTTTTTTGTTTTCCAAACCAGAAAACATGTTTACCAGAGTTTTTCAATTTTCCATTTCATTTTTTTCCAGAGAACGTTGACTTAATTTTTGAAAAAGAAATGGACAATTACAAACATTACAAATAACACAACAAATTTCCATAATTTTGGAAATTATAAAAAGCTACTTCTATGTTTGCTTATAAAAGATAATAATGAATTAAACACCAGAAGACTTTCAAACACAAGCAAAACCATTGATCTATACTCACTTTTCCAATCCCATTTACTAGCAGCTTTCTAAAACTACATACCCTAAAACATAACTGAAGCAATATCACTTAAAGCAATATACCTTAAAACAATATACCTTAAAACATAAATGTGTACCATGTGACATTTAAGAGGAGAGAGTCAGATCTTAAGCCATATACCTTAAAACATAACTAAAGCAATGAAAAAAGAATTCTTAAGCAATGAAAACAAACTTTTTAAGCAATGAAAAAACAGTCTATCCATAATAGACTTCCATTTTCTTTTTTCTGGATACAGATACATGTATATCTATATACACCAGCAAAAAACAAATCAAAAAAGGAACAAAATAGCCTAGGCCTGTAGAACACCTTCCAAAAGTATACACCCCAACCCAGGTATTACCAATTCCAAATCATTATTCCCTTATTTCAATCTTTTTGCTATCAATATGTCCAGGACTAGATTTTGGTTCCTCATTCTTTAACAACTATTAGATAAATATGACCAACAAAGAATCTCACAGGTAATCCAATAAAAAAACTTAGGCAAGAAAGTAATTTAGATCACATTCAAATCCAACATACTTTTCTTTATAGAAATAATCTTTCATATGAACCTGAAGCCACAAATATATCGTTTGAACATCTTTGATAAAGTCATGCACTAAAAGGTGTTTATTCTTGTTGGGGGTGCAACCTAACTCTTACGGATGAAGTACCCTACGAGAATTCCAATTACCTCAACCAACACAACACACAATACTGAGAAGCCAATGATTTTTCTTTTGTTTGCTTCTTTTTTCAACATCTCCAGTTCGTGATGGAATTTCTGATTCTGTTGAATAGTAGAGCTTTTCTCTTCACAAATTGTTGCAGAAAATTTCTTGGGGTTAGTGGGTTTAACCTTGAGCTCGCAGAACATGAACTCTGCCTCCTCACCTCAAATTGAAGGGGTTCGGCAGAGATGTAAAGATGGTAGGCGGAGAGGGTAAGGTAGAACGCAGTAAAGACGAGGAGTGAAGATAGGCTTACCTTGAACTCGCAGGAAGGTTGAGCGCGGAGGAAGATAGAGCGCAGTAAAGGCGGAGGAAGGTAGAGTGCGGTAAGGCTTAGGAAGGTAGAGCGAGTAAAGGCGGAGGAATGCGAACGAGTAAGTAGGTACTGTAGCTCCGCGTTTTCCAAAATGTGAAAACGTCTATTTGTCGATTTTCTGTTTCAGAAGGAAAAGGCGGACATGTCTCGTTTTCTCCCTTTTCAAAAACAAATAGGTAAACACGTTTTCTACTTTTTTTATCTTCGATTTTCCAAATTTTTGCAAAAATAGAAAATATTTCTGTTAGTAAACATGCCCTAAGAGTTCTATAGTAATCTCATTATTGAGATAGCATACGAACCCTTCTCCAGTGTAGCAGTGCAGCTCTGCATTAGTAATTAGTCTTGAAAATGCAATCTTTTTTTATTTGGATGACAATGAATCTCTACCATCTCTTTTCTAACTTACTGGGCTTCACTAGAGAAGATTGATGATTGTACTAGCATAAAAGGAAGCAAAAATGTGAAGAAGCAAAGTCAAATCAATATATATATATATATATATATATATATATATATATATATATATATATATATATATATAAGAGGACCTTTTTATGAGCATACAAAACGCTACATAATCCTACTATATCATTATATATAACAATTATTTACTTATATTTATACTTTTTGTTTTTATTATATTCTATTTTTGATTGCATATTGATATGGAAACAAAAATCCTTATAAATCCACTTTAATTAATTTGGTAAGCTTCAAATAAGTAAAATAATTTTTGGTTATCAAAGTGAAATTCTAATAACGTTTATAGATATGGAAACTAATTTATATTAGTTTAGTACACCGAATTAAATAGAAACAAATATGCAAATTAGTTTACTTATTAATTTGACACCTATTAATAAATAAGTAAGCTTCAAATAAGTAAATAATTAAAAATGAAATTAAAAATTATAAACAACATGAGTATAATGCGTAAATAATTATACTCATGTGGTGGGGGGCTTCTGGGTGGGAGATTCCACCTTTTGGAACAAGGGAATTACAGAGTAAATGCGTTAGTGGGAGCGGAGTGTTCATCATGAGATTCTAATTGAAAAGAAAGCTTCAACTTACCAATTTTTGAAAAAAAATTCTAAAACGAAACTGATATTACTCACGTTTTTTGCCCGTTTGTGAAAAATACCCCAAAAAAAGATAGGTCCAAATAAGGAAACTAAAACATAAAATGTTTCTATATAGCATTAGTCCGCAACGGACATAGGCATGGGCAATTGGGGGCCGTTGTCACTATGCAATTTTTTCTAGGTATAATACCTCAAAATTTTAAGGAAAAATTGAAAATAATAATCTCAACTACAAATGTTATGTGTATATTTTACATTGTCCCCATGCCAATAAAAATTTCATGCGTCCGTTGCTTGCATCGGTATGGTTAAAAACTACGTAGTATCATTAAAGATCTAAAATATTACAGATTTTAATTTATTTATTTTTTTAGGGAAAATCGCAGATAGTTGCCATATTGAAATGTCAGACCCATATTTTGGAGGTTGTAATTGCCATCCCTCAATTGTCCAAATTGCTGTAAATGTGATCCTTTGAGGGGTGAAATGTACTACTCACTCACAGTTTACATTTCACCCTCAAAGGACCACATTTACAGCAATTTGGACAATTGAGGGGTGACATTTACAAACTCGGGAATACGGGTCTGACATTTCAATATGGTGACTATTTCAGGGACTAAAAGTGCGATTTTCCTTTTTTTTTAATTTCATTGCTTTTTTTTTGAAAAAAAATCTTAAAAGTGTTTCTTCATAAAAGTTTTTTAGTTTAATAAGATTACATAATATTTAAATTTTTTAAAATAAAAAATATTAAATCATGATATTTTAGATCTTAGATGAATAGTTTTCAATCATTCGTACCCTGTATCCATACATTTCATATTTTGAGACCCTTAAATGATAGTAACCTAGGTATCTTTCTGATCCTGATTGATAAAATTCATTTGAAAAATCAAGTGTCACTTTTAAAATAATTTATTTCATGAATGTTTAAAAAAGATTAAAATTAATGCTTTTAATTTTAAATAAAATTATTCTTTATTATTATTATTATCATTATTACTATTATTGCTTTTAATCGTTAGTAGTTTTCAATAAGAGTAAAAAATGGAAGTACATGAGCTGAATATCGATATGGAAGTGGATTAAGATATTTTAGTGTTTGAATTAAGATGTGTGAAGTGTGAACTGGGAATTACATAGTAAATGCGTTAGTGGGAGCAGAGTGTTCATCATGAGACTCTAATTGAAAATAAAGCTTCAACTTACAAATTTTTGAAAAAAAATTCAAAGACGAAAAAGAAACTGATATTACTCACGTTTTTACCCCGTTTGTGAAAAATACCCCAAAAAAAGATAGGTCCAAATAAGGAAACTAAAACATAAAATGTTTCTATATATAAAGCATTAGTCCGCAACGGACATAGGCATGGGCAATTGGGGGCCGTTGTTACTATGCAATTTTTTCTAGTTATATTACTTCAAAATTTTAAGGAAAAATTGAAAATAATAATCTCAACTACAAATTTTATGTGTATATTTTACATTGTCGCCACGCCAATAAAAAATTCATGCGTCCGTTGCTGGCATCGGTATGGTTAAAAACTACGTAGTATCATTAAAGATCTAAAATATCATAGATTTGAATTTATTTATTTTTTTAGGGAAAATCGCACATTTCGTTCCTGAAATAGTTGTCATATTGAAATGTCAGACCCATATTTCGGAGGTTGTAATTGTCACCCCTCAATTGTCCAAATTGTTGTAAATGTGATCCTTTGAGGGGTGAAATGTACTACTCACCCACAGTTTACATTTCACCCTCAAAGGACCAAATTTACAGCAATTTGGACAATTGAGGGGTGATATTTACAAACTCGGGAATACGGGTCTGACATTTCAATATGGTGACTATTTCAGGGACTAAAAGTGCGATTTTCCCTTTTTTTTTAATTTCATTGCTTGTTTTTGAAAAAAAATCTTAAAAGTGTTTCTTCATAAAAGTTTTTTAGTTTAATAAGATTACATAATATTTAATTTTTTTAAAATAAAAAATATTAAATCATGGTATTTTAGATCTTACATGAATAGTTTCAATCATTCGTACCATGTATCCATACATTTCATATTTTGAGACCCTTAACGGATAGTAACCTAGGTATCTTTCAGATCCTGATTGATAAAATTCATTTGAAAAATCAAGTGTCACTTTTAAAATAATTTATTTCATGAATGTTTAAAAAAGTTTAAAATTAATGCCAAAAATATTTTTCTCGTAATATTTGAGGGATTAAAAGTAATCAAACTCGATGTCGAATCCTAAAAGTACCACATGCATCATAGTTGGAAGACTTAATGTGCCAAAACCTCTAATCCGTACTAAGTTTATTTTTAATTAGAGGGTAATTTTTGATCTGATATGGTTTGATCTGATCTGACTGATATCTATTCTATGTGTATTTTACACTAATTGTGAAAGTCTAGTTTGAAGTTTGAACAAGTTTCTAGCTAGCCTAGTATAGAACAGTAATCAGTTCAATTTAAATCATTCTAACTGCACCAACAAAACCTTAAGGAGTTGGGCTATTCCACTCTTTCTGAAAGGAGGGTGGGAACGTCATGTTAAACACTCAAACACACTAATTAATCATTCAAGATGTTTTTAGTTGAACTAAAATTTTAGTCCGTTCAAATTTAATCTGATAGATTTATGTTCTATGTAGCCTTTATAAATGTGGAAGTCTAATCTAGTCTAGTTTTATCTAGTCTAATCTGATAGTATTATCTAATACAATTTGTTTAGGTGTAATTTATCTTGATCTATTATAAGACACAAGTCAATTTGTAATTTTGTATTCTCCACAGTCCACACTTCCCTCAAAGTATACTCCTTGTGTCCATAAATAAAAGTTTCTCTTTCCTTTTCGGATCACTTCTAAGTAAAAACCCCGTTTCCTTTTTTGGTAAACAAAATAGTGCAAGACAATGTCAAATAGTGCGGAATAATGTTCATACGGTGTCAAAGAGTGCCAAACAATCTTACTTTTTAAAAATGTGTGTAAAATAAATTAAAAAAGATATTTATACTCATCCTTATACCCACCATGTTTGTGCAGATTTTTTTTGTCTATGAAAATTTTACACATAAAAAATAAGACATATTTTGTCTATGAACCAGAGTCACAGAAAAATAAAATCCTTCATAGACATGGTGAGTATAAGGTGTGTATATAGGAGGGCACAACAAGAATGGATGAAAATAAATGGAGACCTTTATATAGGAGGGACGTAGGCAGGGACGGATCCAGGATTTCGAGTTAAGGGGGGCGAAATTTTTTCGTTAGTGTAGTGGGTGATTTTTTTTCCGCTAGTGTAGTGGAGCGAAACTTTTTTCGCTAGTGTAGCAGGACGATTTTTTTCAATAATGTATGGCTGTGCGGCTAATTTTTATTCAAAAAGAATTCATAGGTACATACATGATGGCATTTAAATATATTATATTCTATGTTTAGACATTGGAAAAATAACTTTGATTTTATAATTGTAAGTGCTTTCGAAAAAAGTATTGATACGTTAATGAGTAAGAAATAGCAAATCAAAGAAAAATTATTTGAAAATGAAAGAGGATATATAACATTTTATCAAATTATTTGAAAGTAAAGAGTTTAAAAGATGTACAACCACCAATGCTTTTTAAATAACTCTTGTCATGTTTAATAACATGAATCTTATCGGTACAAGGAATTGATTTTTGAATTGTAAATTTTGTTTACCAAGGGTATTCGTGACTCATGAGGAGTTTTGCTAATATTACAATACTATGTTTGAGATTATTATTTTTAGAATAATATTATATTGCTAATTCTTATATATGGTGCATATTAAATTTGTATTGATTCCTAAAATAAATTAAACTTTATTATCTATACAATAAATTATTTTTAAAAAGTAAGAAGTAAATGAATTGTGTAATTTTAAATTCACTTCACATGATCTAAAAACCGCTTAACTAGTGTGTCTCGTATTTAATATTGTTTGATATTTTACAAACCAAGTACTAATTATCTAATAAACTAAAGATAATTAAACATTTCAAAACTTTGATTTTTTATATAATAGGTATCTTCAGTCTTAAACAATGAGTTGTTCTATTGTTTATTTGTTTAAGTTATGTAAAATATTTTAGATGTTTCATCTTTTAACTCTCCAATTAAGTATTACATAATGTATGTCTATATATTAATTTTGAAAACTAAAAGTTAAGGTGGGCGAACACATATATATCTAATTAAAGTACAAAATTTTTATGAAAATATTACATACGTAGTATATAGTAGAAAAATTTGAAAGTCCAAGGGAGCAACCGCCCCCCGCGCCCCCCTTAAATCCATCCCTGAACGTAGGGAATACTCTCTCTGTCCCATTTTACTTATCATGCTTTTCTTTTTGAATTGTCCCAAAATAAGTGTCTACTTTCATTTTTTGGAAAGAAATATGTGACATACATCATTTCACTTTGTTATACTCAAACATCAATCACAACTTTTACCTTTTCAACCACTTTATTAATAACTGGGGCAAGTCAACACATCAAATGTCATGAATTATTAATTTGGTACGTACCTCAACAGCTGATTTCGCTTCTCCAAAATAAATGGTTTCGCCGGAGGACAAAAGGCAAAGATCGTCAAACAGAGCAAAAACCTCACTGCTCGGCTGGTGAATGGAACAGACGACCGTTCTGCCACATAACGCGGCGTTCTTCAGGACATGTACGACGAAAAACGCGGCGGCGCTGTCCAGACCGCTGGTGGGCTCGTCGAGGAACAACAGACGAGGCTGCGTAAGAATTTCCAGCGCAATGCTCAGCCTCTTCTTCTCCCCGCCGCTAATGCCCCTCAGGTGCCAGTTTCCGATCAGGTGATCGCCGCATTCTTGAAGCCCCATTTCCATCATCACGTTTTCTACGATTTCGTCTACGTCGGATCGTGTAAGGTTGCTGGGTAACCTCAGTTGTGCTGAATATGTTATTGTTTCTCGTACCGTAAGAGTTCCCATTAATAAATCTTCCTGTGTTACGTAGGCCTTCAAGTAGAATAAATCGACATTCCAAATAATTAGAGACGCACAATTGAACAAACGTATCTTCTTGTCTAGTTTGATTTGTTATCTAGACATAGTATTGCAAAATCAAATTGAGATAAGTATAATTCAAAATATTCTAAGGTATATATTTCACGCTATTGTTTTTAATTGCAATAATTTGACTTTCACGTTGATGTACAACACACAACTTTAACCGTAGTAGTTCTAATTTACATATCACTCCCTCTGGTCCTAAATAAACTTCACACTTTCTTTTTTGGGTAGGTCCAAAATAAACTTCACACTTCTTCTCTCTTCCTTATTTGGCAAATTATCTACACCAAAACAATGCAAAGCAGTGACAAACAGTGTCACAACAATGTACTCTACAGTAAAGTCAAATTTATTTCCTTAATTTGTGTGAAGTCAAAGTGTGAAGTTTATTTAGAACCGGAGGGAGTATTAAACATGCTAAACATTTAATAATTTGGAAATTCACACTTAAAGAAGTTAATAGTATGCTAGACCATGTGCTTTGGTCACCCATTGACCATTCCCAAATTGATTTGTAAAATTAATTTTTTTGTTAAATAATATCACTTTATTCACTTAATTCTCATGTCAATTTTTAATCATATTTTAATATGAATTTTGCATTTTGAAAATATTTTAATGTAGTTTCTGAACATGTAAATTTTAATTATTGTAAATTGAATTACTTATCAATAAGGAAGATTTAACTTTTTTTCCGATGTATAAAAAAAAGAGGATTTGACTTTAACATTAGTTACCAAAAAAATATTAACTTGCCAAATCAATTTGGGATGGAGGGAGTAGTTCGTATTACATATATTTATGTATAAAACTTTTTATAAAATATCTATACACAAAAGAATGTTTTATTACTAGGTTAGGCAAATTCGCCCAGATCCAAAGTAGCCCTTGCCCAAGTCAGTGAGTCACCAAGTCCATGTGGATACATGAATGCCGACCATTGTTTAGAGGCATAAAAAATGTTTCCATTTTTAGTGTAAAACATTCTGTATGAAATATAGGTGACAACTCCGGTACTCATTTAAAAAATGGGGTACAGTACCTACCACTCACTTGATTGGTTCAAATCATTACATCATTTTTCATTTAGATTTAAATAATTCAATTACATCATTCTGATTGATCTATATGGACAAAGGTATGGTACCTTAAAGGTACCATAGAATCTATCTAAAATATATTCAAAAAAAAAATTGGTATCAATCTAATTCTGGTGATGAGTGACCTAACTCTATCCCTATATTGTTTTCTTCCATGTAAAAGAAAAGGAAAAAATTCCGAAATAGGTGTAAAAAAGTTTAGAATTCCAAAATAGGACTATCATATTTTTATTTCTAAAATATGAGTAATTATTGCTAAGTTTGGAAAATATTGTCATCCTTAAAGTCTGGTACTGCCAAAACATGACACTAATTAGTCCTATTTTGGAAATAAAAACATGATATTCCTATTTCGAAATATAAAAACGTTTTTTGTCATATTTAGGGTAATTTCTAATAAAATGAAAGAAAAGTAAAACGTGAAAAATAGCACAGGAAAATTAAACATCTTTTTAAATGGCAAACGTTGACATAAGGTTGAGATTTCCTTAGGGTATGTTTGGGAGTTTGAAAGGAGAGAGAAGGTTTTGAAGGTTAGTCATTGGAAGGGAGGGGAGGACACTCCCCTTTCTTTTTTGGGAGTAACAAATTTAAAAAGATAGAGGTTTTGAATGAGTTATAATTAAAATCATTTCACATATACCGGAGTATGATGAATTCAAATAATTGAATATATATTCATTTAAAATTAAGCTAAAATTGTCATTTAATTAACGATCCTTCAAAATTCTTCAATTTGGGGGAACTTGAAAATGGAGCATTTGAAGCCGTTGAAAGAGAGGGTCATGAACCTTCTCAACCTTCTCATCTCCTACAGAACTCAACTTCCAAACACACTCTTAGAGTTGCCCATAATATTTTCGAAACACAAAAACCTCTTGCGTTAATTAATAGTTTTATGAGAATTTGTAGAACTTACCGCTGCACCGTTGTTGAGCTTTGCTTTTCGTCCATTACGGAGGACGTCACCGGTCATGACAAGATTCGAAGAAAGTCTACCTGTATATGTGGCAATTTTCAATTCTGTATTTAATGATTTTGTGAAACTAGAAGCGCTTGTATCAACTTTCTTTGTACACGGGATGGGATAAAAACAAGGTAGATTCTATGATACCCTTAAGGTACCATACTTTTGTTCACATGGATCAATCAGAATGATGCAGTTGAATTATTTAAATCTAAATTAAAAATGATGTAATGATTTGAATCAATCAAATGAATGGTAGGTACGGTACCCCATTTTTTAAATGGGTACCGGAGTTGTCACCTAAAAACAATTAAAGGAATTGTCCTAAATAGAATTAAAACATGATTAAAATTCTAAAATAGGATTACAAGTTTATTGTTCCCAAAATAGGTCTCCAAATTACTTTTTTACCCTTCTATGATCAAACCCCAAAATAAGCTGCCACTCACTCCAGCGGAGATCCTAGACTTGCGAACAAGACACAACCCATTCACTACCCAGCTATATCCCGGACTTTCATCACCGCCGCCACCGCCTATGCATAACACAGCCATAGCCGTCGCCGCTTGTCGATATCACAGCCAAAGCCACCACCCGTCTTCTCCATCTCCGCTAGCCTTTTGCGATTTTTCCCATGAAATCAAGTCATTTCTCATTCTCTCTTCCTTTCTCTTCTCCTCTCCTCTCTCTTCCGTTTCTGATTGATCGTGCTCTTTTTTTGTTCCATGGATGTTTGGAAAAATGATTAATTTGGACTTTAGATCTGATAATGGTTCGATGAAGCACCATTATTGGGACTTAAAGTTTTGATAATTTTTAAATTTGATTAATCTTCATTTATTAAAATACCATAAATGTTGTCTATTAGAAAAATGTCATTTTTATGCCATTACATTATATCAACATGACAATTTTAATTTGGAATGACATATATTTGATTTTTTTGTCAAACTATATTACATAAATCAAGATGTCAATTTTAATTTGAAACTACAATCATTAGAATGACATGTTTTTGAACTTTTTGCCAAATTATGTCATTTTTTATAGCACTAAATGTATAAAGAAGGCAATATTATTTCTGATTTTTCATTTTTTTATTTTATTAACAAACTTTATATTTTCAATTTTAATATGATATTCACATAATTTCTAACAAAAATGCGAGAATCTTTGGCTTGAAAATGCATTTACTTTTCATCTTAAAAGAAAATGTTTTCACAATTAAAAATGTCATATTTCTACATAAAAATGTCATTGATATGTCATTATTCTTGTCAACATGGCATTCTCAGCTCCCGGAGATCAACAAGACACCGTCTAGAGGGCAGCAGCGTCTCCGGCGACTCATCGGAGGATGGTGTCAGCTTGTCAGAGGAAAGTGGCGGCAAACTCACTGAAGGTTGACGAGGAGGTTGGCGTTGGTTGATGAATTGAAGGCAACGTAGTCTGTGGATGTCGATGGTTAGTTCCTGGGAAATTAGGTTAGGACCTGGAACTTCATTAAGGGCAATTTTGTCGAAATGGTAATTAAGAGTCGTATTTAGGGAATAATAAACTTAATGTCCTATTTATGCACATCTCTTATGTTTTTGTCCCATTTGGGGAATTCTCTCGGACAATTAATTAGATCACACACAAATCCAGCATATGGGAGTAAGGATGTTTTTACTTGAACTGTAATTCCTCTCAGACCAGACCAGACCAGATCAGACCGACCAGACTTAAATAGTTATAAAAATACAAAGAAATCAGACCAGACCAGTTCAGACCAGACCAGCAAATTACAGTCCGAGTAAAAACATCTTAATAAGGAGAAAAGTTACCTTGTTAATTGTTCACACATGCTACGGTAGGGTAAGAAGAGGTCGGATATACACAGTCTTATCCATGTATTAAAACACATAGAGACAGTTTCCGAAAGATCAATGATGAAAATTGTATCGAAAATTGTATGGACCGATCAATGTTCATAATAAAGAATTGAAGTTTGTTTAGTGAGCTATTTTTCTATATTCCATCGTATCCAAAATTAAAAACTTTAAGAAGTTACTTTTTGAAAAAAATCAGATATACTCAAATAAAAATTGATTAGTAAAAAAAGGCTAAAAAATAAGTGGAGCTAGAGATCAATATAGAACAGATGAGCACCAGCCAAAGAATCAAGAAGAGTGGATTTGCCCGAGCCAGAAGGACCCATGATAGCCAAGACTCTACCAGGTTGAGCATAACCAGTAATGCCATTAAGCAACCTTTTTGTTGGTCCATCTCCAAAGTTTGGAATCACCACAGTCAAACACTTCCAAACCAGATATCCACCACCTTTCTCAGCTTCTACTCCACAATTACTGGGACTGCTCTTCACCACCATCCCAGTTTCCAGGTCCGGGGAGAAATCACAGGCCTTAGCAGCTCCTTCTGCTGCTGCTAGAACTGCTTCTATCTCCATTGATGAAAAGAATGTTTTTTAAGCAGTATAATGATGCAATTCTTGCTACAGTTTTCTGTCGTAGAACGTAGAAGGATTTCAGGAGAAAGAGCTGCTGTGCTTGAGTTGATTTATTGGGTTTGGAAAAGAGCTGCTCCACATTTAATGTTGAGTTGATTTAAAAGCATTGTTCGGATGGCACATGGGCACCATTAGGATTCAAAATAATTAAAAAAAAGTACAAATAATAAATGTTCATAGCCATTGTTTCAAAAAAAAAATCGTAGTACAAATAATAAATGTTCATAGCCATTGTTTCAAAAAAAAAATCGTAGTACAAATAATAAATGTTCATAGCCATTGTTTCAAAGAATCACTTCAAACTTGGAAAGCATTTGATGCTCCACAAAATAATACGGAGTAGTCATTTCAAAACTTTGCAATTCGAATAGTACAATCGGAATTCAAACTTCAAATGTCTATAAAATACGTCTCTTATAACTTTTTTTTACTTGAAGAAGGTTTAAGTAATAAAAATAGCATTCAACAAGGCTACAAAATTAGAAAAGAGCCACAAATAACCATCCGTCCGTGGCCGAGATTGAGAACTAACCACCTGTAAAAAAAACAGTATAACTCGTTAGACCAAAATTGGGCAACTTAAAGTCAATGACGGTTACCGCAAACTTTCATTCCCAAACCTTATGCAAGAGTCTTACAAGGCATGAAATAACAAAAGCAAAACATAATAAAGCAACTTAAGTTAAAGTAACCAAAGCAGACAATAATAAAAACACCATTGTAATTTTTCCTCCCCACCACCGCCCAACAGAGATAAGGCGAGTCTAGGAGACCTGACCTGCCCCCTCACATTTTTTGGCCCATCCCGAGTCATTCCTTCACCATGTGCATCTCTTTAGTCTGGTCATCCCATATCCTTCTACGCTTAGGATCTCCAGGAGTCACTTCCCTGTCTTCACTCACATGCAGTGATGGCTTGCTAGTCTTGGACTCAACTGTATTCTCTACCCCGAGATCAGTCTTCCTCGGACCTCCAAATCCATCTGAGCTAAAGGCTCCGTCAGATAACCATTTATTAAATCCTGTCGGGCTAGTCTTCACCCTTCCTCCAGCTCTAAGTTCTACCCCATATATTTTTTCAGCTACAAAGTCCTCTTCGTACTTCAATGGATAGAACTTATCAGAATGCCTAATAATACCACAAATAAAGCAAAAACTGGGTAGTTTTTCATGTTTAAAATCTACGCAATGTTTCACCCCATCTTGTGTTAAATTTGTACCTTTTTTCAAGGGTTGACGGACATCCAAACACACTCGTATTCGCAGATAAGAACTCTGCTTTCCATCAAAGTGGCACATCTCAAATTTAATAAAAGAGCCTAAAAGGTTACCAATTTTCCTGGCAGATCTTAAATTCCTATACTTAATAGGAGCATTATGAACCTGTACCCAAAAGCTAGCCTCAAACAAGTTCATGGATTCCGGTATATCATTTGGTTGCACAGCCTTTAGCAAAATTAAATCTCGCTCAAAAAGCCAAGGACCATCCTCTATCACACGGTTCATATCCAAAACATGATTAAAGTTTAGCAAATATCTTCTTTCGCCGATCTCTTTGATAGACATACCTTTCCATGGCTTCCAGATAGAGGTCATCAGCTCTTTAAATCCAGGTAATTTGACATTGCGGTTCGTGATGATAACCCCAACCACTGGAAAAGTCACCGGTTCCTTCTCCTCCTCGCCGCCGTCCTCTGGATCCTTGTCAAAATTAAGCTCCGAATCCTGCTCATTCATCGACATCTTCCTATATGAAGCCACTATATCCTCCATGCAAAAACTTCTTCGACCGAACCGAAAATCCTCGCTCTAAACCTCATTGAAACTGACTGCACTTCGTCTGAAATCGCCGCCCCGTGCTTCGTCCAAAACTTCTCCCTTGCTAAGCGATACCCGATCCCCGACCGAGAACCGAGATTGGAGAAACTAACCCTAGCGGCCGAGCCCTAGGAGAACGATAAGATAACAATATAATGTTTTCTTAATAGGAAATACACCAAAATAGACTTAATAACCTCCCATCTCTTATAACTTTGTTAAATGTCTCTTTTTGGTTGTCTCAAAATATTTGCCACTTTCCCTTTTGGTTAATTAATTTGTGGTTCTTGTTATTTTCTCTCTCCTCTGCACAAAACACTACCACACAATTTTTATGTTATTATGCTACGTGTCGGTCAAATTTGACAATCTTTTTAGAGACGGAGGAAGTATATTTTTATCTTTTGAACACAAGTCCCATTCAGCCTATGATTCATCCGATACACAGAACTAAGTCAACACATTATAAATAGACCCTCCTACTTGGCTTTCCAACACATTCTACATTATCCCCAAACACAAAACAATGGCACCACACATAACTTGAATGTGATCCATGATGAAGAGTAGGCATCCAACATATATCTAGAGCAAATCCACCAGGGTTAAAGGTTATGAGCCCATTTGGTGACCTTTTTTTCTGGCTTATGAGCCAACTTTTTCACTAAACACGTAACTATTGATTTCGCGCGTTGCAGTTTGTAATAAACAGAAAAAGTAAGGTTGAAGTTACTTTTCTGACTGTTTTGGCTAAAGTTACTGTAAGGAATCATTTTAGCTATTTTTCATATAATTTTTTATTTAATTTATTAGTAACAATTATTTTAAATATAATTTTTTCATCAATCAACAGAATCAATCAATACAGCCACTTCAGCTAGAACTTCATAAATTTCAGCAAAATCAGCCAATTCAGCCAATTTTAATGTTATCAAACGGGCTCTATATTGTGTTCTTTATAGTTGATCAATGTATCTGACCACCGTATTTTCACACATAATTTCAGTAACATAAAAAATGGCAGAGTAAGGTATAAATTATAATGTTGAAAAAGTGTATATTAAATTATAAATAATATATACGGAGTATATAATATATAGTATAAATTGTAATATGGCGTATATACATTTAGTATAATAGTATAATATGGAGTATATTACATACTATTCTCCGTTCTGTTTTAATCGCAACATGTTGAATTTTACACTATTCACATGCTCTATTTTGACTACATTTTACACTATTATTTTATGAAAATTATTTTTTTTTTAAATATTGTTCAATTCATCCCATTGCAAATTTTAAAAATCTGATTCTGAACATCTTTTTTACTAATAGAATTAAAATATAATTACGGTCAAAAACGTGTGTTGGCACATGTGAAATGTTGACCGTTACAATGCAACTAAAAGAGAACGGAGAGGAGAGTATATAATATGTTACATATATCATATATTATATATTAAATATATTATGGAGTACAGTATATTATATGTATATACTACGTAGTATACTTAACATTCATAGTATTTCGTAAACAGTAATATATTTTGATCAGTTTAATATATACAACCCAAGCCAGTATATTAGGCTGCTACTATAGTGGGACGTCACCGGTCATGACAAGATTTGAAGAAAGTCTACCCATATATGTGGCAATTTTCATTTCTGTATTAAATGATTTTGGGAAACTAGTATTTGTATCAACTTTCTTTGTGAGTTGATACAAATCGATTTAAGTTAAGTAAAACGATATATTAAAAAACTAGAACACAAGAATTTACGTGGTTCACACAATCGGGATGATTGTGCTAGTCCATGGCGAACGAGAGAGAGAGCAGTGTATTATTATCAGTGCATCGTCAGGGTTTACAAGTACATAAGAGTCGTTTAAATAGGTTTAAGGAAACATAAACAATAATTAGAGCCGCAGGCCCAAAAACTACGCCCGTATTAATTTTTTCCCGCATACCCGGTCAGGTACCCTCCTGTACCCGGTCGGGTATCTATCCTAGAAGACTTTTCTCCACGGTACCCGGTCTTGTCGCCAGGCGGATATCTCCTCTGGTCCAAAACTGTCAACATACCTGGTCGGGTAAAAAACCCTACCCGGTCGGGTATTACTTCGAGAAAGTTGCCCGGCCAAATTCATCTTCATACCTGATCGGGTAACCCAATGTACCCAGTCGGGTAACTGCTCTAGCATTCAGAACAAGGCTCCATCATCAACAATCTCCCACTTGGATGCTTGTTCAACAATCATCTGCCATCCAAGAACATGTATCCTCTGTAAAACCCCTGATCTCTCTCTCTCTCTCATTCACGCCTTCTCATCAAGTTTCTGGAAGGCCAGTTGAAACGATGCATAGCTTCAACTTCTCCGTTGTCACCGCCTTGATAAGCATGTCTGCTGGATTCTTCGTACCAATGATCTTTTTCAAATTTATAGTACCATCTTCAATCAACTCTCGAATGAAATGATACCGCATCTTGATGTGTTTCGTTCTGCTGTGAAACACCGGATTCTTCGTGAGATGAATATCACTCTGGTTGTCACAATATAGAACGCAATCTCCATGCTTCATGCCCAACTCCGAAAGAAAGTTCTTCAACCAGATCAACTCCTTGGCCGCTTCAGCAAGGGCCATATACTCTGCTTCTGTGGTTGAAAGAGCCACACTGTAGTCTGGACATCCAACTGATCGCCGTACCTCCAATAGTGATTACATACCCCGTAGTGCTCTTTCCGGAATCATAACAGCACCCCAAATCAGCATCGGTAAATACTTCTAGGATTACACCATTCCTCCTGAAACATATGGCAGTTTCAGAAGTGCCTTTCAAGTAGCGCAATAGCCACTTAACTCCTTCCCAATGTTCCTTCCCTAGATTTGACATGAACCTGCTAACAACTCCCACTGCATGTGCAATGTCCAGCCTTGTTGACACCATCACGTACATCAAACTGCCAACGGTGATGCATAAGGAACTTTAGCCATTTCTTCTTTGTCTTCATTGGTCTTTGGAGACTGCTGCTTGGAGAGTTTTAAAATGACTCCCTAACGGTGAGGAGAGCATATTAATGAGAAAGAGCGGGCTTGGACGTTAGCCTATAAAGTCCCGTGATTTTCTCCCTTTCCGGGTTTCCACGTAAAAATAGCTAGTTCATACACTTTTATATATTTATTACTTTTATACCGAATCCATCGTCCTTAATATCCGAAGTTTATGTTGGGCTTACGGATCTACGGGACTAAACCTCAACAACCTTCAAAGGTAAGCTTAGTGGTTCCAACCGAACTACTAACTGCTGTGACTGTACCGGACCAACTATCGGGCAAAGATGATAACAAAAGTAATATTTGAACTTCATCGTCGAATTTAATCTCAACCGAACCTAACATGTATATGATTGAATTAAACTCGTTGACGTGATCTGTCACGGTTTCACCTTCTTTCATCCTTGTGTTCACCAACTGTCTAATTAAGAAAACCATGTTGGCCGCTAAGGGTTTTTGTCGTACATGTTGGATTAAGACAACTTGGACTAGAAATATATTCAATTCAACGTACGAACATACCATGCAATTACTGAAGCAGACGAATGGAATAACTGTAACCACCAAACACGCCTTAAATGCTGGATTGATCGATCATGTATTGTATGGTATGACTGACTGTACGAACATGATTGTTGTACCTCCCGGAGTGGATATTTGGGAAAACAGACTACTCGAAGATTTATGGGGAAGCGGCCAAGCATATGCTTGAGTGCATGATCATCTTACATGAAAAAGAAACGTGTACTGTATTATTGGGAAAATAACAAATTTGGCCCCTACGTTACTATGCAATGTCCATCCCTTTCAATTAATGTTTCACATGTTTTTCTTTAAGTGACTCCATCGGTAAGTCGGTATAAGTGTTGCGTTGGGAGAATGAGGATGTTATCACTAGCTACGATTAAAATTTTAAAGTCTGATTTGGAAGAAATCGCCTAGTCTGATTAATCATCTCCTAAGCGTGAAATGACCATTTAACATGCCTAAGCGCGAAATTAGCTGTGAGTTCTAGAATAGAGCTATATACAGGGGCGGACCGTAGTAGAGACCCAGGGGGCTACCGCCCCCCAACAATTTTTTTTTAGTGTATATATATACGAAAAATGATTTTTGTTCTTCCAAAAAGTATTTTGAACCCCCCCAAAAAATATTTTCGCCCCCCCAAAATGACTTTCCTGGGTCCGCCCCTGGCTATATATCTAATTCAACTGCAGCATTCTGATTAGAGATGACAATTTCGACCGACTCGTTGGATACCCGCACCAAACCGATTTGGTCAAAATGGGGAAAACCGGTTTGACTGGGGAATATGTATGGGGCGGGGAATACCCGATTTTTTTAAATGGATACTGGTGCGGTTATGGTTCTATACTAATCCGCCCCGTTATCCACCCCGAAACCGCCTCGTTCATTAATGGTGCAGGTACCCGCACTGTTACCCATCCGTAACATTATTAATAAATTATAACTCTTTATATATAAGAATAATAAGCATATATGTTAACTCGTGTACACTAAATTGTATATTTGTATATACCATATAAGTATATTAAGAATAATACACTAGAGGCTCACTTCAAAAACCCTAACATTCCTAACTCATAGACTCATAGTTAATTTAATGGCGTAATGAATTTAGGCCTGATAAAACTGTTTCTTGAAACGGATTACTACTTTTTTAGAGCTCAAACTAAATTTAGGCTTAAAATTGTTTATTGAATTTAGATTCTGGGATGATTACTATTTTTTTATTATAATACAACAGATGATGGGTGCTTGTCATACTAATTAATTTAGGTCTAAAAATGCTTGATTGCTTGAATATTTACTTTTGTATGTTTATGGTGCTTTGAATATATAATTTATAAATTATCACGAAGGATGTTTACATTAACAAGTAGGATTAAAAATTGGTTATTTGGTATCATTTGGGCAAACGGTTACCCGTGGATAAACCGCTTCCCCGTTGGGGCGGTTACGGTTCAAATAAAAATTACCCGAACGGGTAATGAGGCGGTTTCGGGGCAAACATTTATCCAACGGGGCGGTTTCGGTTTTATGTGTACCCGTTCCCGATCCGCACCGTTGCCATCCCTAATTCTGATTGGTCCATGTGGACAAATGTATGGTACCTTAAGGGTGATAAATGATAAATATATCCATGTATTTATTTAATTTATTCTTGTAATTATCCTTAACTACTTAGAATAGTGTGCCTCAAGTTTAGCAAAGTCAACAACAACTTTGTTTGTATACCGTATACGTAAGTGTATGTACGTGTATATAATGGCTAAGCCATCCAATACAGAAGCCAAGGAGCTGTTTTCTAGAGATATTTTTCAATTTTCCAGAAAACTGGAAAACTAGAAAACAGAAAACAGGAAACGTGTTTACCAAAGAAAATTGCTGGAAAATTGGAGAAAGAAAAACAGAAAAACGCGTTTACCAAACCGTTTTTCAAAATGAAAAAAATGAGACATCCATGTTTCTCTTTTCCTTAATGATTTGGAGAAATGACTTTTACAAGTTTTCCAAATTTAGAAAACACAGATGCTACAGGCCGCTGTAATGAATTTACATACTTACACCTACAAGTTTTCCAACACTGAAATGACTTTTAAAGTTTGCTACAACTTCCTATTTAGAATGTATTTAAAAGATTGTTACATTTTTTTAGTAAGTTTTTCCTGTAAAAGTGCTCAATTGATTGTAATAATCCCAACTATTGGCGGTCCGCTTATAATAATCTCAACTATCGATTATCTAAGAATAATCCCAACTTTAGTGACTTTCCACCAATAATGGTCCGACATGACTGACTATAAATAAATTCCTATAGTTTCTAAAGTGGATGAGAAGAGATATAACAAGTAATCTCTATAAATAATTCAACTTTTAATTTGTACGCTTTATTTATATTTAAAATTCACTCGTTATAGCAGGTCATATCTCGTCATGGACCATTATTGGTGGAATGTCAGTAAAGTTGAGATTATTCTGAGATAATCGATAGTTGGATTATTATAAGCGTACCGCCAATAGTTGGGATTATTACAATCACTTTTTCCTTTATTTTTTCTACTCTTTATCTTATCTTTCCCACTTTCAAACATACTTTTTTCACACTATTCATTATCCTACTATTTATCCTTAAATATTATGTCAAAGCCTAATGTAGTGATCTTTTAAGTAAAGAATTTGTGATTCCATTAAATTCTCTCTCTTCTGCACAAATCACCACCACACAATTTTTACTTTATTAATTTTCATGTCGGTCAAACTGACCAAGTGTTAAGGGACGAAGGGAATATTAAACATTTAAAACACCCATAATATTCTAAAGTACAATTTTGATCCTATTAAAATATATTTTGATATTTTTTAATTATATTAAACGCGTTTAATATAAATTGGCATGATTTCCATTCCTATGTAAATATATAAATATATTCCATATTTTTCTTTTTAGGGTATTCAAATTGCAATTATATGGGTTTAAAAGTTTTTAAAAATTAAAAAATGTTTTTTTGTTGAAAAGAATAGTCGAAACCAGGTTTTCCGAGTCCGTGTCCAGATCGAGTTTTCCAGGTCAATCGGGTGTTTCCAGTTTTTAACCACAACTTTGTGTAGTATAATACGGAGTATTATGATAGTTGTGAATTTTATACTTTTGTGAATGTACTTTTAACGAAGAATATTTTTATATCATTTTTATATATATTATAAGTAAATTTCAATTAAAATATATAATTGATCAAATCTTTAAAATGATAAAGTTTTTAGAGGCAGCAGGAATAATATTTAAGGTTGTCATCATGCAAGTAATTAATTTTGTTTAAAATAAAAGAATTTGTAAACAATTGGCATTTCACGTGAAATGAATCAAAACAATCTAAAATCTTGAAGAATTCTGAGGGAATAATCACAATAAAATGAAATAATGAGAAATATATTACCGAAATAAAGTTAAGGTTTTGGATAAAAATATGACTTAATGACTATCATAATAACCTTAATGACCATGACTGTGTTCAGTTCTACCGGTGTCGTTATTATTATATGCACAATAACTATAGTAGTACATTTAATTTGTCCATAACTTATAATTTAATACTATGTAATATTTAAGAAAATACCTCTAATAAAAAAACTGAATTGAATTGCGGAACAAAACATAATTGGCAAAACTTAAACTAAAATTAAATATACACTTTTACACATTTTATAAAAATAATAGCTACACAAAAGTTCATAATAACAATCCTTACTTAATTATTACGTATTTCACATAAATGAGTTTATATATGCTAACTTTTCATTATGTTTTTTCGTTTGTTGTGAACTTTTAACAAGTTCAGATTATTTTACATATAATTTTTCAAGCATACGATAATTGATGTCTAAATTTTGAACGTTTTTTAGTATACAAAGAGTGCGTATACGGTATACCGTGCAACCGGTATAAGGTGAGCACCGTATACCGGGACGGCTTTATATTTTTTTTCCTTTTGTTTTTAAAAAATGGTAATAATTTTTTTATTTTTGATCCGATTTTTATAAAATTTATATCAACATTTTTTATTTTTCATGATCTTTCAAATGAGACCAATATTGCCTATGTAATTTTAATATATTAACATTTGTGTGTAAAATATGTAACTTTAAGTATTAAAATATGTAACTCACGTTCAGTCAAGTCAAATGCAACTCGTGTGTATAAATATGTATCTCTACGTGCAACAATATGTAACTTTACGTAAAAAAAATATGTAACTCGCATTCAGACAGGTCACATGCAACTCGTGTGTATAAATATGTAACTTTACGTGTAAAAATATGTAACTTTACGTGTAAATATATGTAAGCCACGTTCAGACATGTCAAATGCAACTCGTGTGTATATATATATGTAACTCGCTTATAAAAAGATGTAACTTGCTTATAAAAAGATGTAACTCGCTTATAAAAAGATGTAACTCGCTTATAAAAAGATGTAACTCGCTCATAAAAAGATGTAACTCAATGTATTATCAAATGTAACTGAGGCCACTGATCCACTCCCAAACAGATTCGATTTTCTATTTCACAAACCTATCATCTCCCAAACAGATTCGATTTTTCTTATAATCCAATACTCATTAATATAATAGTTTGATAATTTCTTAAAATTACATACACAATATTGGTCTCATTTGAAAGATCATGAAAAATAAAAAATGTTGATATAAATTTTATAAAAATCGGATCAAAAATAAAAAAGTTATTATCATTTTTAACATCAAAAGCAAAAAAAAGGAGATGCTGCGTCGTACATGGGGCCGAAAATTATCCAAGTAAAAATAAGACAATCTTTATAATAACTTAGTATCCTACTTCTTTCAAATTATAAGAGGCATCTATATATATTATGTGTCTCGACTCAGAATTCAACTAAGGTTTGTATTATGTGTCTTATTTTTTGCTGTTTTCTTCATCTTAGAATTAAACTATTGGTTTTCTAATGGTAGCAAACGACTTGCAGCCACTCCACTCATGATTATTTTTCTTCTCTCCGCACCTACTGCATCTTAGCACTTTAATTTGGTATTGCCATTTAACCTATTTTGATTAGGTATTTAGGTAAAATTTTAAGATTAGAAGA